TGGGTTATCTACGGAAAATTCTGTAGGTAACATTACCTACAAAATTTTTCATAGATAACCCACGAAAGGTATTATCTACAAAATTTTTCGTAAGTAATGTTACCTATAGAGTTTTCTGTAAACAACCCACGAATAATAATAATAATAATAATAATAATAATAATAAGTTTCCTGGGGTATCTATGGAAAATTTTGTAGGTAACGTTACCTACAGAATTTTTCGTAGATAACCCACGAAAGTTGTTATCTTTGGAAATTTCTGTAAGAAACGTTATTTACGGAATTTTCTGATAATAATATAAGTATGAGATTGTATAGTTGAGGATGACTTAAATGAATTAATTTGTGTTACTTATACTGATAACATGCATTTGCTTTTCAGTAGTTTATCTCATAAGAACTCCACAGTTAAACGTGTTTGACTTGGAGTAATGTTAGGATGGGTGACCTTCTAGGAAATTTCTCAAAAAATGTGCAGTAAGGACAAAACACGTTAAAAAGTAAACTATCATGAAATGACATCCTTGAGAGGCCAAATATGAGGATTGTTACATTAATAAATTTATTAAAATTAAACAAAAATTTTCTGAAAGTTATCTATGGATAAAATCCAACTTTCGTGAGTTATCTACGGAAAATTTCTGTAGATAACGTTATCTATGGAAGATTCCGTAGATAACGTTATCTATGGAAGATTCTGTAGATAACGTTACCTATGAAATTTTTCGTAGATAACGTTATCTACGACCTTATTACCTAAGATTTTTTTTCATAGATAATCCGTAGATAATTGACAGTTACCTACGGATTTTCATGATTATCTACGAAAATTTCTGTAGGTAATACTGATTTTTGTTGTAGTGTGATGTGAAATAAGATGAGATGATTTAGTTTAAAGTTGTGAAATGCATGATGATAATGTTGCTAAGTTGTTAGATGAGTGTGTAGGTTGTTATAAAGTTGTACTACGTTGTTTAAAGTTGAATATGAATAGTGATGATTGAGTTGTGAGATGTTGAGATGCATGTTGAACATAGTGTTGTAAACGAGTTGTGAAGTTAAATAGTTGTATAGAGATGATATATGAGTTGAAAAGTTATGTGCTGAAAAATATAATGAGCGGTTGTGTTGTTATTTCGAGTTGTTGAGCTAAAATGAGCTATTGTGTTGTTATTCTGAGTTGTTGAGATGAATTGAGTTGTTGTGTTGTTATTCCAAGTTGTTGAGCTGAATTGAGCTATTGTGGTGTTATTTCGAGTTGTTGAGCTGAATTATACTGTTGAGTTGTGTGTTGATTGAGCTATGATGATGAGTTGTTGATCACTAGGACTAGGGGAAATGTTTTCGAAGTTGTTCATCCCATTGTGGGGATTGAGATAGTTGTGGTGCTCTTAGAGCCCAATTTGTTGAAAAACCCTCCTCAAGAAGTTGTCTGTTGGAGTAGATGATGTGTTGTTCTCCCTAGGACTTAGTTGGTCTCGTGTATGGGCAAGGTTGAGGCACACGTGTACAAAGCAACCATGGTATAGGGGCCAGGTTGAGCTATACCGATTATAAGCGACCAATTTGAGTAATGTACGAAGTTGGAAACTTAGTTCGTAACCGAGTATCGGAAGGTTGTAGTATTTGGAGGATAGTGAGTAGGCTAATTTCATAGGTGACTTAGTTGAGCTAGCTAATGCCGTGGTAGGCCTAAACCCAGTTGTCCTATCCTGACATAATACTATACTTCCTTGTTTAAGTGGCAAAGTTTGAGAAACCGTTATCGTGTTGTGGATTGTTATCCAAATTTGTTGTTTACCTAGCAAACCCAAAAAGGTTCTGTGTTGTCGGTTCAGTAGGACCTAGCCACTTAGACTGCTCACCTTGTGTTGTAGGAGATCTCCAAATTAAAATGCGTGACGACGCATATGTGTTGATGAGTTGAACATGTGTTGATGTGATGATAATGTGTGGTTAGGTGATGATGTGTTGATGTGATGATAATGTGTGGTTAGGTGATGATGTGTTGATGTGATGATAATGTGTGGTTATGTGATGATGTGTTGTAAGTTGTAGAAAATGTGAGTAATATAAGAGTTGTTTGTTGTTTGCGTTGAATGTGATGATGATGAACCATAAGTTGTTGTGTTGTGTTGTGTGTATATATATATATATATACTATATGTTGTTTATTTTACCTAGCTTACCCTTGCATGTTTCCATGTGGTTTGAACTGCTATGATCATACATTGTATGAGAGTAGGGTAGGGATAGACTGACATGTTGAAGAATGTCACCTCTTGCACTCCAAAGCATGATTCCATCATTTATAGTGATATAACACAATTAAAAGATATATTTGGTTGTCAGTGTAAAAATTTTTTAGACTAGCAGTGTATAGATAATTAACTCTTAAAAGATATAATTGGTTGCTAGTGTAAAAAAACTTTAGAGTAATGGTATATAGGTAAATATAGTAATAATTTGTATAACGTGCTAGGTGAGTGACAGCATGACTTTGCAATGGCATTAAAGTTTCATTTACTATACCCCCAACTGCCCCATATCATGTTGTTGGTTTCTCCCTTTAAAAGGAGGAGCCGAAGCAGGGTTTTACGACGACAACTAGTAGTAACTAAAAGAGCAACTTGGCAAAGCGATAGTGTATACTGTAGAGTGTTTAAGAGAGTGAGTTAAGCAAGTGTAGAGAAGAGAAATGGGTAGGTACAGGTGTTGCATCTTGCTGGTTCTTGCTCTGCTCGTGGTTGTTGCAAGTGCCAGAAACATGCCCACTGACGCTACTTTCGAGGACCAGAAGAACTTCCTCGGATATGGTTTCTCAGGTGTTGGCAACAATGGCCTTCCCTTCGGAGGAGTCGGCACTGGCTTCGACGGTGGCAACCTGGGTGGGCCTTCTGGGCTCGGTGGACTCGGAGGATTCGGTGGGCCTGCTGCTGGCCTTGGCGGCTTCGGTGGGCCTGGTACTGGTTCCGTGCCCGGTCTTCCTCTCCCTTGAAATTCCAACCAAACCTCTCTTTCGCTTCTTATAGCCTTATAGCTTTTCTTTTATATTTCGTCGACAAAATAACGTGGCGTGACGTGTTTCTTAAGGGTGTTATCATCAAGTAGTACTAGTGTGTGCTTTGTAACCACTGTGTGTTCTACGTACATGTATCATGTATGGCTCTTTTAGTTTTATGTATGGGAATTGGGATGCATATTTTCACTTGGAATTTTAACATGTAGTTTGTAATGTGTGTGATCATTGTTCTCTCTGTAACACATTCTAAATTCTAGCCTTGTCTCTTATTCAAACGTACTTGGTATGTGACTTTATGTATGTGATTATTTCTCAGATTATTCTGTTAATTACCGTAGAATAAAAGGAAGGAAATAACGAAAGAGTAGCAGCATGGATATATGATAATAATGCCAAGCTTTTCCTAACGGCAACACTAGCAAATACTAACATTTTGATTCGGTTAAAATGAAGTGCTTCATATGATAATTACAAAATTTAACGAAAAGGAGAAAACTAATGCTCAAATTATTATTTGTTGAATCATACCTACTTACCAAAACTATTTCAAAAAAATTCGTATGTCTTTTGATATGTTCAATTAAACTGGTCCCCATGTGTTGATAAAATCAAGTGATGGTTGCTACTTATCATAATGACTTCATATAATGCTTCCAATAACATGTTTTTCCATGTTAATTTGAAATATTTGATCACTCCACAACGTTATCGTATTATTCAACAATTTTTTTACTACTTTATAAAGAAAAAAAATCAAATAAGAATATATCTAATGTCTTAAAATAATTAATTCAAAAAAATAAACTTTGATCAATTCTAATTAAATAGTAAGAGAATGAATAAAAAAAATATTGTAGGAAGATTTAAAATTATTTCTTCACATATATATTGTATTTGTATCGATAAAAGCAGTTTATTAACGGTGATGAAGACTTAAAAAACAAATTTTGATGCTTTTTTACTTTAAATAAAATAGTTACACGTATTTTTTTTTACTACATAATCTTTTCACTTTTTAAAAACTATTGTAATCACTTTTTTATAGACCTAAAACTTAAATTTTAAATGGTAATCCTTTGCCACCCTGCATCCTATATCCTATATCTTACATGAGAGCACAAAGTTCTAATGATCACCTCTTTATTTACATGTATTTGATTTTCAAAATAGAGATATTACGTATACACCATTTTGATCACATCTTATTTTATTGATTAAAATTTATTAAAAATTAAAAAAAAATTGGTGACACACTCTATTTTACGATTTTATAGTATTTAATGAATGTTAATTGATGAGAGTATTAAGAAGAGTGTAATTATCACTTCACTTTTCACATAAACATACTTAGTATACTGTGATCTACTACATGTAATATACAGTTTAATATGTTAAACGTTAGTTCATTTTGTTCAGCTCATTCATTACCTTTAGACCAATTGACAATATATTGAAGTAAGAAGTGATTACAGATACTATATATAGAAGTCTCTACCTAGACCAGTTGTCATGCTTTAATTATTTTGCAGCAGCAACTTAGTTTTTCTGTGTTCAGTCTGTTGTCACGACCATACAACACAGTATTCTATGAAATCGAAGGAGAGGGACAGCATCATTGTCCTTTCTCTGAGTAGTTTTCTACTCTAGCCTTGGTAGGGGGAGTAGTTAATGACCATTGTTAATGCTTCTAATCAAGTTTTTCCTGTTAAAATAGTAAATACTAATAAGTGTTCTTATACCAACTAACTCTCACCATGATTTCTAGATGTTATGAATGAGTTTAACTCAGTTGGTTTTTGTCGTAAAAAAATGCAAATTATTATGATTTCCAATATTTAGTTATTTATTTAACTGATATATTCTTTAACCTCCTTAGCAAGATGCTTAAAAGAATAAAAGTTTAGAAACTTGTGTTAACTATGTCGTGTTCCTAGCAACAACTGCTTAAGATGAGGCTAAATATGGTAACTGTTAATCAATACGTTAGGTAAAAAGGTGGAATGAAGATGAATGTGGTGGTCCAATCACCTATTATCCGAGGATGGCAATAGCAATAGGATCCATGTTACCCTTGCCAAATATCAGCACTGGCAACTGGCAAAGATGTCACATGTATTCCAATTGAATAAGAACTAGGGGGTGGTCAACTAAATTGTAAATAACCCATTAACAATCGTTACCTACTACTCTCTGTCATATTCCACATTTAGCTACTGTTAAATTTGTCTTGCTAATAGTACTCTAAACATATATAGTCAAGGCCTTTAAAAAAGTTATGTTCTTTCTTTACTTGTTTTTTAACTATCCCACCGTGTATAACAGATGCATGAAAAGTTAAGCACTGTCAAATAATAGAACTATATCACCTAGAATTTCTCTATTCCAAGTTGGTGAGCGAACTCACCTGTTTCATTATGGCACACCATGAATGCTACTCACGTGTGACACTTCTTCTCTGCATATGCAATGCTCATCGAATTAAATTACCCCAACTTTGTCAAATTGTTATTTAATTATTATTTTTATTGGTAATTATGATAATTAAAATCTCTGTCGATAATATTGTGTGTAAAAATGGCACCAAAGTTGGTGCAAACCTTAATGCCTTCCAAATAGCACATTACAGAGAGCAATCATTAGTTGTTGAACCACCCTTCAAGTTCAACAGGATGATTCTGTACGTGTACATCCCCTTAACATGTTTTATATATAGAAATATGTAACATGACTCATCAGCATAATTTATTTACCTAATTAGCAAGCTTTTTGTGCTTGATATTTTAAAAAATAAAAACATAAGAAATTATTATGAGAGGATATTTATTACAAATAATGAATATTTATTTTATTAGATACAAATAATGAAGAGACAAATCTTAAAAATAATAAAACTAAAAACATATTATTTCTATATGTCCAGTAATTTATCATATTACGTGAATCATTAATTAGAATTAATTTAATAGTGAGAAGGTTGATGTATGAGACATTAACTTTGATAATTGTTTCCTAGTCATAGAAAAACACGATATCAAAATTTTTAAATTGTAATGTATTAAAATTATAATAACGTTAAAATCTAGGTTATTTAAATAAATGAGTTTAATAATTATGAATTGTTAACGTAAAAGATTTTATATAGTCAATCAATCAAAAATCTCAGTAAAAAATCATAGTTTATATGACTTTTAAGGTAATTTTTATAAAAATAAAAAACTTATCATTTATAATAAATAGTAATTAAATAATTGTGTAAAACTATTATACATTGTTGGTGTATCACCATTAAAATCTTTCTCTCTCTCTATATATAACGTGTTAATATTTAAAATTAAATTCAAATGGTAGCCCACAGCTGTGAAAATTAATTTATGTAATCATGGTGGTTTAGAGAAGAATAAAAATTATAAATGAAAAATGAGACACTTAGGTGATGTTTGATACACGAAAAACTTTTACTTTCTTGAAAATTCGATATTAGGAATGTTAACTTTTTATATGTTTAGTTTGTTATTTTAAAAAAATAATATTCTTAAGAAACATTGTTTTTCGAGAATAGTTTTACATAAATTTTCCACAAAATCACTCTCACGCGAGGTGAGAAACTAACTTCCTCAAAATAAAAAAAAAAGGTTTTCATGCAATAAAAAGTAATGTTACCTATATTTTCTTATTTAATTACAGTAAAAATCTTTGATTCTAATGTAACACTTAAAAATATTTTAAAAGATATTTATGACCAATCAAACAAATTTTTCATAAATTCCATAAATCATTATTTCTAGACATGAAATTTTTTTGTCATATACCAAGTGTCTCCTTAATGTAAAAAGGTCATATAACTTACCACTATTTGGTAAAGAGAAAGTTTAGAGAAAAGAAAGATAATAAAATCGATTAGTGCATACAAATAGATAATGTAGTGTTGTTGAGAAGAAGTGAAAATGTGTGAATTGTTTTTGGTGGAAATGTGAGAAAAAGTGCAAGGAAATTACATCCATAACATAATTGATTATATATATAATTTTGAATTTATTTATTCATTTAAAATTAAAAATATTATTATAATGAAATTAATGATATAAATAAATAAAATAATGATAATTAAATATTTATTTATTATTTTTAAAATTAAATAACCTCTTCAAAATTTAACCTCTATCATATTTTTCTTCTATTAAACAACGTATATTTTTACTCTATATTTTGTCTCTCTTTTTTTTTTCTTTCCTTTTTATCAAACATAATATAAGAAAAAAAACTAACAATATTTTTATTTAAGAGTGAATATCTAAATTATCTTTTATTATTATTGTTGTTGTTTTTACACGAGAGTAGTTGGATTTTGAGAACTATTAAAAAATATTTCTTGGTCTGCATCACATTTTTTTTTGTGTTGTTCTCGGCCTGTACTTTTGTTTTTCGTCATTTGTGGAGATTTCGGACTTGGGATGGATAGTTCAATTAGGCCCATGATACGTAAGGGCCCTTGCTCATTATTGCTTTTAGCAACACCTAATGTATAATCACTAGACATATAACAATATATACACCATTTTTTCTTAGTTTACCCCTCTATATTATATTATTTATTATATTTTAAATTTCTCTCTCTTTTCTATTATTTATTATATAAATTAAAATATATTTTATTATACATGTATCATTTCTCATATATAATTATAATACTACATAGTTTATTATATACGAAATCTTTTCAACTAATTCACACATGCAAGAAAGTTAGTTAATTTATTAATAATATTTAAGGATGTTTAATGTAAGACCCGAGAACCTTTTCACTCTCATTTTTCTCTCAAACCTCTAAACTTTCATTGTTGCTCTTTTTTCCCCAAGGCTGAGGTGATGAGAACATTGAACTGTGAAGCAAGGTTCATCCATTCTTCATCTTCTTCAATCTCGGAGTTGTGCGGAGTTTGTCGTTCACTTCATTCCAAGGTAAGGGAAGCTTGGATTTTGGGGTTTTGGGTTTAAAACGTGGTGCTATTGAATGAATTGAAGATTATTGTTGGTAGATTCGTGAAATCTACAAATGTGGGAAGGATTCAAAAGAGTTTTGTGTGGAAATTGGGGATTTTGTTGTTCTTGAGGCAAGATTGAAATTTGATGATCTTCTTGAGCTTTGTGAATGCATGTTGTTCTTCTTAGATTTTATGAGTTGTATGGTGTCAATTCTTGAAGTATTTTGGGTTGCATGTCTTGATCAATTCATAGATTGAGAGGGTTGGGAGATTTGAGTTGTTCATGTACCAGTATGAATTTCATGGGTTTGG